GGTTTATTAATGGTAGCTTTGATTATGCAGATTTTCAATGTAAAATCTTTTTTGTCTCTCTGTCCATTGTCTCTCTGCATTCCCAGACTTTGAGGTGTTAAAGTCAGTCATGTTGTAGTTTGTGTATGTGCATTATGTAAGGGCTATAAAAGCATGTAAATACTGGAAGCCAAATACACCTGAGAGCCAAGAGAGCAGGCCACTCACCCACTGAAATAACTGACATTGTTGATGCATTAGCAGTGTGTGCCTCTGTCTGAGAGATTGCATGCACTGCTCTGGTGTGCAGGCCACAGGCTTCAGTTCACTTTAATGGTTTACTCAAATAACCATTTTGAGTCCTCTGACATGCCCAAATGTCAACCGTGCACACAAAAATTAAGCTGTAATTTGGCTCAACTTTATATAATATTTATTTATTATGTAAAGTTGTATACGTCCGTGTGTGTGTGTGTGTGTGTATGTGTGTGTGTGCGTGTGTGGTAATGTTTGCATGTGTCAGATCATTAGGGGTTGACATTGGGAGTCAGAGAAGTTTGACAGGTTTTTATATGCCTGTACACACACACTAATGAGACCCTTACAGGGTAAAGTTCACTTCCCTCCCCTCCACACACCCACAGACACACTCTGGCTTAGATGATTCATAAAAAGTTCCATTGAATAGAAAGCTTGAATCCTTCTCTATAAACATTAGTCAGGGTCAACACCATATTTTATTTGACACACACTCGCACAGTTCATACAGTTCATTCAATTTGTAATGTTGTTTACCCTTTTTTATCTTTCCAAAATATTACCAGTGCATCAAAAACTCTTGTTTGTGGAGATTAGTACCCTTTGACCTTAAAGGTTAGTTCATGCAAAAACGAAAATTATGTCATAATTTACAAATTTTTATGTCTTTCTTAATCTGTATGAATTTCTTTTTTTCTGCTGGAACACAAAAGACGACATTTTGAAGAATGTTGGTAACCAAACACTTTTGGTGTGCGTTGACTTCCATTGTATAGAAAAAACATTTCACAAAAAGCATTCCCGTCACCTCATAAACAATTAAGTTTGAACCACTGGAGTCACATGGACTACTTCAGTGATGTATTTACTTTCTAGGCCTTGAAAGTGGTAGTTGCATAGGCTGTCAGTAGAGGGACAGAAACCACTCAGATTTCATTACAAATATCTTCATCTGTGTTCTGAAGATGAGCGAAAAACTTAGGGGTTTAGAACAGCATGAGAGTGAGTAATTAATGACAGAATTTTCATTTTTGGGTGAACTATCCCTTTAAGACCGTACAACCTGTTGAACACACTGAACTTTTATCCTTCATAGCCTTGTTTTAATTCATGTCAGATGAAATATGTTGTTTACCCTGACTAAGGTCCGCTACTCTTTCTGTCTCTCGCATATGCTGTTTGTCTTTTTTTTCCTTCTAGCTTTGTCTGTTATATTATAATCAGCTTACCTGATGTCTTTGAGAGGTCTGTGCACACAGAGAAGAAACGGTGCTTTAAATAAAGCTTATTCAGCAGCAGTAGGATCACAACACTAACATATTTGTTTATGCAAACATTAATAGCAGTCAGCATGCAAATTTATTTGATTGTGTTTAGAGACAGTTGTTGTTGTTGTTGTGTGTGTGTGTGTGTGTGTGTGTGTGTGTTTATATCTCCCAGCACTGGGTGGAGTTTTTCAGAGAAGTTGTAAAGGAAATCTGTGCTCCCAGATTAATTTAATCATATGCAAACATTCCACAAGACTCAACCAAATGTCACTTCACCTCTAACACATACAGATGAGATTAGCTCTTAACTGATTGTCCAAAACCATAAGATTATGTACTCTGATGTAGGTGTCTTTGAATTTTTTTCAGTAAATGGACCAGTGAAGAATTTTAGATAGGAAAAAAAAAAAATCCACATGCAAATAGAGTTTTGTTTTTACTCTTGGGGACAAAGATAAGAGTCAACAAAATTTTTGTGTTACCTGAAACAGATGGCTATGACCTGGATTGAATCCAGTTTTATGTAGAAATACTCTAACTTTTGGCAGTCCAGTCAATAAATGAGACATTTAATAATTAAAAATGTTAATGGTTTAACCTATTTGTTCTGCCTAATGGTTTTGGCAAATGCATTTAGACATCCATCCTGACCAAATGCACACAACATTTCAAAAGTTTGTATAATCCACGACATCCACGGTTCAGTATGCGCTTGTGAATTGCTTTTTTTTTTTTTTTTTTTTTTTTTATGGTTTTGCATTTTAATAATTTCAGTGCATTTTATTTCTTTCCGAATTGGCTGTTTTTGTCTGCCCGTGAGTCTCTGGCTCTGTTTGTGTGCCCCCGTGAGTTCATGCACTTAGATGAGGAAATGTCTCCTCGCTTCTGTCGTGCATTTGAAAAAGCAACACATGCCAAACATCTTTTCCTTTGTAATGACTTTTAATGAGAAGCGTTTCTAAACCTGTTGTCCAACAAAAGAACATTATAACATGTTTTTACTTCACAACATCAGTCAAATGTTTGAAATTGCTTCCTTTTGTGATCTGATGTGGCTTCTTATCACAGAAAGAGGCAGAAAATATATTCTATACTGTAATAAAGGCTATGTCAATTAGCAATGGATTATAAATATACTTAATTGCCTTGATTAAAAAACTGATGTATGTATTGAACTGTGGGCTAACTGTATTGTTCTATCTATCTATCTATCTATCTATCTATCTATCTTAGGGATGCACCGATGTATCCGTCGCCGATATTTATCGGCCGATTTTTCCTCAACTTACAACCATCGGCATATCGGCTATATAAGGAAAAAGGCAGATATAACAAACCGATGGTTTATTAATTAACTGCGTGAAGGCATTGAGCTGTGTAATGTCTGTTGCATAATCCTAGCGCTGCTGTCAGCACTTTAATGCTACTCAAATAACAAAAGATCGCACACTATTCTTGACTTAATAACTTTTGTAACTTTCATAAGTGTAGCGGACCTCATCTGAATGATGACCAAAACTTTACTGATGTTTTATTGAGTCCTTTTTCACTCCAAAAAAGCTAAACAAAACACAGCACAAGAAATGCACATTAAACTCTCTCTCTCAGTTGCATTATCATCAGCATACAGCGAATTACACAAAACACTTATTACAACTAACAGTAAACAAATATATACAGATTAGGGCTGCACGATAAATTGAAATGGAATTGAGATCGCGATTCGACAGAAGCTGTGATTGTCATGCGTATCTTTCAGTGAAGCACGGTTCTGTGATCAGCAGTAAATCTCCATCAGTAAAGCTCTCGCGCTGAAACTCCAAATACGCCTCGCAGAAGAAACCCAGAAAATGCCTATGGCTGCAGCCGAATAAACAGAAGATTCAACTGCTTTCATTTTAATAAACTGACAAACTTTAAATCCGAAGAACTGCGTGCTTTACCCATATAGCTCCGTCAGGGTTGCCACTTTGCCAGGTTTTCACAACAAAACCCACCCAATTGCTACTCAAAACTAGCCCAAAACTAGCCCAATCAAGTTTCGAGGGGGTTCCCCTGGTAAAATTCGCATTTTAGGGGCTAAATATCACGTTATTGGAGTCGCTTAAACCCGCGGCAACAGTGTTAAAGTAGCCCAATTCCGACTAGAAAACCTGTCAAAATAAGAGTCCCGCCTTAGTACTTACAAAAAACTTACAAAAAATATTAAAATGTATACAAAAACAAATTAGAACTGTTACAATAAAGAAGGATTAATATGTATTTAATTTATACAGTGAAGTGTTATTTTACATTTGTTTACTTTATTTCTGTACCTGAAAACTGTTAAACCTACCTAAAAAGCACTGTTTATTTAATATGTATCTTTGTTCTGTTGTATTTATGTAGGCCTGCTGAATGTTAAATGGATCCAATCCATGTTCATTAGAAATTACTTGATGGTGCAGCAATAAAACTGCTAGTATAATTTAATGCAGGTGTTTTTGAACTTTGCTGATTTAAAACATGATCAAAATACTATCTATTTTGATGCCAAAATTTCAAATAAGAGAGGAAGTGACAAATATCGGTATCGGAATCGGCCAATAAGTGTTTGTTAAAATTGGCATCGGCCCTCAAAAAAAAAAATATATATATATATAAGAAACATTTTTCATTGTCACCAAAACATAATGAAATGCTGCTTAATATTTTTGTGAAAACTGTGATACGTTTAGTTCACAAGTCTTTTTGATGTAGAAATTATGAAGGTCCTCGTACTTTCACTTTTGTTAAATTTCATGTGCCCTTGCTGAATAAAAGTATTTATTTCTTAAAAAGAATCATAAAAAAAAGAATCTTACTGAGCCTTACTGAACTTTTGAAAGGTAGTGTAACCATGTGTAGTTTACATACTACATACTTGAAAATAAGTACAAGTGTATATTTTGGTAATATGCAATACCAGTCATACGCAGACAGCCGTCAGCTTCTGTGACTTGTGCATTAAACTCCTCTAATATCTCACTCTGTGGCTTTTGAGGTTTTGGTTTCAGTCATTACATGAATTTCTAAATCACACTGTCCCTCAGGACCATCCACCCATTCCGGTCATTTCGCATTTTATCTAACTTACTTTCAAATCCTTATGCCTAATTGCCTATATTATTATGTCTTTGCCTTTCTTCTTATTATTGGCTTTCATCATTGATTGATTGGTATTGGCATGGCTTCCACTGTGATTTGGTTACCGTAGTATCAGTTTAATTAAGTTTAATTAATTTGCAATTGAATTAGCAACAATTATTTCTACGTAATAAATGTTCTAAACCGTGTCATTGTTTCTCAGTGATTAGTCTTCATTAGCATTCATGTCAGTTGCTAATGCTGTTCATATCATTAAGTGAATGAATTTCTGCTGCTCTCTGTATAGAAGTACTGATGTTGTTAGTAAAACTGTATGAATGTAATGTACTGAATTCTCCCTAATTGCTTTTTTTACTTGTGTGTGTTCAGGAGGCCATACCCACCCTCGTCACCCTTAAAGTGGACCCAGATGGATTCTTCCTCTACTGGTCTGGAGGGACCAGCATGGTCAGTTCATTTTTCTTTCTTTCTTTCTGTCTTTTTTTTTTTTTTTTTTTTTTTTCCCCCCGAACCCCA